AAGAGAGACACCATAGTATCCACACTTTTATCTCCCATGACCAACATTCTCTTCCACTCAAGAAATGTTTGTAATATGAATGAATAAATTGTGTGGCACTCACAATCCTAAAGATTCCTGTTTCCTCTTTCTTTACTCCTGTTCACTGCTGCTATTCAGATTTAACATGTAAAGTCTTGAGTCATTTGACTTTAAAACACAGAGATCTTTCCACGTCGGCCTGGCCCAATCAGGTGAAACTATTAAAAGTAGCTATTGGAAGTCAGAGAGATTCCAAACATGGAGGACTTTAACATGCCAAAGTAATATATATATATATATATATATATATATATATATATATATATAATGATACCAGCCCTACAACCACAAGGATCTGAATTCAAACAAACAGGGAGCCTGAAAGGCAACCTTGGTCTCACAGCCACAACTTAATTTCAACTTAGCGAGGCCCTGAACAGAGAATCTAGCTGCCCTAACCCAGACTTCTGACCTGTGTACCTGGGAGATGGTTAAAAGGTATTGTGATAAACTGCTGTGATTGTGGTAGTTTGTCAGGTAGTCACAGGCAGCAAGAGGATTTCAGTCCTATGGAGACACTATTGGCCAGGCTGTGGACCATGGGTTCCACAGAGATTTAAAGAAATCACTGATGGTTCAGATATAGCTCCGTGGAGGAGTCATGCCTTGAGGAATACCACGCCTATTCACAGAATGAATCAGATTATAATAATAGAGTTAATGTCCTCCAGGGGCTCGAGCACTGCACAGAGAATAGGGAATGTCAGTGGTTAGTCCCAGCTCTGATGTCACCTTGCTATGTGACTTTGTCAAATTATTTTAGGTCTCTTGACCCCTTTCATCTGTAAGGTGGGGATAAAAGTGTTTTTGGAAAGGTTTTACATATTCAAAGAGCTGAACTTAGGATGTTATCATTTTAAGATATTGATGGGAAACATAAAATTCATAAAAGAGTTTGTGAGATAAAATTTGAAGATAGATTCAGGACTTCCAGGAATATTCTATTCATACCTCTTTTGTCCATTTCTCAGGGTCATATGTGAGGTAAAAATAAGATAATGGGTCCATCAAGCCATTCAAGTTGTCACCAGTTCTGCAGGAAAATATGGGTTCATCAGTCACCTGTCCTAGAGAGTTTTAGGAAGGTTCTTGCCAAATTATGAGACTAAGCAAATTCAGGTGATAAGGCAGACCTCCCAGGGCCCCAGATCACAGCTGTTCCATCCTACTAGAAGAAGGCTGCTTTTCTCTGTGGTTCCCTGGGAGGCTAATGATCATCATAAAAATAATGCCTCCAATTCCAAAGGCACTTTTCACAGTGCCTTCCCTGTACCATCTTAATCCCAAGAGTTTAAATCCCTTAAAGGGAAAAGGATGGACTAAAAGTCCTTCTAGTTCTAAAAGTCTTCATTTCTCACCATGAGAAAAGTCCCACTCACTGGTGGGGCATTTCCCATTGTACAGAGCAGCAAGACTGAGGCCTCAGAGAGGGGGGTAACTTCTCAAAGTGACAGGGCTGCTTAGTGACAGAGCAAAGGCTCTCCTTTGGCTGTCTTGCCCTCAGATAACTCCAGCTCCCGGATTCTCCTCTCCTCCCCTCTCTTTCCTCCCCCTCCACTCCTCTGAACTGAGTAAATGTGCTGTTTCCAGACACAGGGCAAGCTCATCCTGTACCAGGACTGAGCAGAAGGCAGAAAGGAGCAGCTCAGGCTCAAGCCCTAATTTTATAAAACAGACTCACATAAAGATCCCCAGTTATGATGCATTTTGAAAAGCCTTTTCCCCTGGGCTGCCAGCTCATCCACAGGTGACACCGGCTGGCTGATAAGCTGCAGGATCTTTCTCTGGTGTCTTCATTAAGGAAATCAGGCTGATGTGGGCAACACTATGTGGAGAAGCTGCTCTCAAAGATGCTCCCCGTTCCCAGAAGGCAAATATTAATTAAAAGAGAGCAAGGGAGAAGGTGCCTCAGGCCTGGAGCTTTCTTAGGAGGCCTTTGAGCTTTCCCAGATGATCTTCCACTTGTGATGGCCTAACCGTGTCTCAGGTCAGTAACTCTGGGAAAGGAAACAGCCAACTGAACATGTAGCTTGGTGCCATCAATCCGAACACCCCAGACCATGAGCAGTGTTCTCTGATCCTAACAGCTCTTCTCCGTCTCTGTCACCCTATGTCAATGAAGCTTCCAAGCAGTAAGAGATGCTACATTTATGTACCCACTCTTATTGACAGCCTACTCTGGCCCGGGCCCTAGAGATGTAACACTGTCCAGAAGAACTGAAAGATTCCTTTTTAGCCTCCCAGAACTTATGGTCTAAGGGCATACAAATAGACAAATAAACAAACAGATTCCAGACTTCAACTTCCACAAGGACTGCATGGGTCAGTCCTGCATTCGAACATTAAAAACATGACAGTGAAAACAAAGCGTGCACAGGGTGGGATCCTTTGAAATCTAAGGGACCAGATAAAAATCACCAAGACAGAAGTACAGAAAGTATGTCAGTGTGCAGCCCTGGAGAGCGAGTCAGTGGTCAGCAAACAAGGGCGTTGCGGGTCCCTGAACAGGTTGAACTTTATTCCAAGGATAAGGCTTTGTCCCCTGTTTTAAGCAGGGGATTGACACGATGCAATTAATATCTGTCAAAAGATCACTTACATTGCTTTGGGAAGAAATGATGAGGAAGTAGAAGGAGATCACAGGGGGCTGAATGGAGGCAAGAAGTCCAGTTCGGATGGCACTGTAATCATCCAGAGTGAGGAAAGCTGTCAAATGATGTCAATGCTCATTCCTATCTGTCACCTCCCGAAGTGAAAAAAACACTGGGACAGTTTTACAAAGATTAGTCTGGGTCCTGAGGTGCTGGGGCAGTTTTTTAGTCTTTATCTATCTTGCTATACTGTTCCAGAGATGCCATACTGGCCTGTTTTCTTATAATTTCAAGTCACAGACTCACAGAGATGGGAGGAGCATGAGAGGAGGCAGCAGGTCCATGGCCCATAATGTGACTTGACACTTTCTGTCTTTCTTAGCATTGGGGTCCCCAATCTTTGAATCCTCAGGGATGGAGAATAGCTACCAAACACAACTTTGTAAACGATCCACAACTTGAACCCGTTAAGAAATGGGGAAGGAGGTCTCTCATTTCCAGGATACCAACGTGGCACCACCCCAGCCATCAAAAGTATCTCCCTCCTACTTAAAGTTTGTTCTCTGAGAAGAACTGCCAGATGCTCCTAAGTCAACTCATGTGACCAGGTCTCCTGCCGGCCCTTCGGGAAACATGGCTCCCCATGGCTTCCTTTCTGATTATGTGTCCCCTCTTAAGGCACCTGGACGTGACTTAGGTTTGCTCTACTCTGCAAGTCGCGTTCCTTGGGACGTTTCCTTTCTCTCTTGCCCTCTTAATGGGAAGTATTTGGTAGCATTGTTTCCCACATAGCAAGCGTAAGAAATATTTGTTGGGTTTCTGAGAGCAAACTCTGCCTTCCTAGAGTAAAAAGTTAACTCCAGGAAACTCAGACCAGGTAAAATGTGAGCCTACTACAGGTAGTCAAGCATGGCCTGGAAAGTGGAGAGGAACAGCAGAAGGAGCCAGCAGGCCTGGATCCCGCTCCAGAGGCTCTGTGTGATTGCAGACTCTCAAGCTTCTTTGTCTGCAAGACTCAGGTTGGATAGATGATCTCTCAGAGTGATTAACACTGGGGTTTTTGTTGGTGGTGGTGGTGGTAGTTAGTTTATTTTTATCTTTTTTGGTTGGTTGGTTTGTCTTTTTTGAGGCCAGGTTTCACTATATGTTTCAGGCTGGCCTTGAACTCAGATTGTAGCCCAGGCTGGCCTCGAATTCACAGTGATCCTCCTGCTTCAGCCTCCTGAGTGCTGGGATTACAGACATGGGCCACCATGTCCTGCTGATTAGCACTAGGTTTTAGTTCATCACTGCCACCTGTTAAAAGCTCTCAGCTTGAGGCTGTCAGAGCACGGGTCAGAACGGTCTTAGAAATACAGTAGCTCTCTATGTCTGCCTTAATAACCTGACCAGATGGAAAGAGAAATAGAATGCAAGTAACTTTATCACAGTGTGACTCAGAGTGAAACAACACCTTGTCCGTACGCCACACAAAATCACCCCATGTAAAACCCAGATCGTCTGATAGTGTCTTCCAGAAGCTCTAGATAGGGAAATAACCTAGCCAAATGAGAGTGTCACAGTGAAACTCGACTAGTCTACACCTCTCTTCATTGTTTTTGGTGTGAATAAAAAGAACAGTTCAAGGGTAAACTTTATACCTCACCTATGATTGTTGCATTTGGCTTTTTGATCTTTTCAATTCAGCAAAATCTTTTTTGTGGTGGTGGAGGGGGGTGGTTGGTGTCTCCAACCAATGGTGACACTCCCCACTGCCGCTGGAGTGTGGCTGTTCTCATTCTTTTTCCACTGTTGTCTCCCTTCCGTTCTTTCTAGTCCCTAATGTTAGTGACCTCTGAAGCCAGGAGTACAATAATGAGAAGACAGCCTGACTAATATTTCTGAACCAGCCAAATGTGTTTATCATGTATACAAATCCATTTGAATTCATATATATACATATATATATGCACAAATATTTGGTGTGTATGGGACTAATGTTTGGAAGGATGTTTACACACATCGGTGATCTCTGTGGACAGGTGTTGACACATATGTGCTTTTGGTGAGATGTGCCTTGATGTGTGTGTCTGCAGCTGTAAAGTGAGGGCAAGTGTGTCCTGTGTGTTATCACCACTGATGGGCGACAACCCTGTAGCTCCCCAGTGTGATGAGGAATGAAGCATGGATCTCTCTGACATCTGGGTTTTCCCATCTTGCTGACAGAAAGGAAGGGTGCAATGGGTTTTGACAGCTCTGCTGACAGGGCTCAGCCTGGCTCTTGGCCCCTCCCCCTAGCCTTCTGCCGCTGATAGCTGCCTTCTGATGCCTCTTCCCTTTGGCCTGCAGGTCCCTGTCTGGACGCATCGTTGGTGGTGTCTGGTGGTTCTTCACCTTGATTATCATCTCCTCTTACACGGCCAATCTGGCTGCCTTCCTGACTGTGGAGAGGATGGTGTCTCCCATCGAGAGTGCAGAGGACCTAGCAAAGCAGACAGAAATTGCTTATGGGACCCTCGAAGCAGGATCTACCAAGGAGTTCTTTAGGGTAAGGCCATCCTGTATCCTGAGACTCATTCACAAGAGAAACACCACTGCCATTAAAACTTCCTGCTCATTAAAGAGCTTGAGATCTTGAGGGAAATGGCTTAACCAAGTCAGGAAAACTCAGAACTTACCCTTTCAAGGAAGTTCAGGCACAAACTACACCAGAACACCATGACTGTCTGTTTAATTCATGTGGCTCTGTTCCCTCCTCCTATTAACTTTTACAGGTGTTCAACTGTTTTCATTATTTGTCTTTGAGCTGCTCAGGACAGGATTTTGACTATGAGATCCACACTTGGTGTTCCCCCTCAGAAGCCATCTGCTCCAAGATGGACTAGAATCCAAAGCTAACAGTCATTTCTGTGTTCCTGGGTTCAGTGCACAGAACTCAGGTTCTACATTCTCCTTGGAGGAGAACTTGCATGACTCTCTTGTTCAACCTACAGTGAGGAAGGCTTGATGAAGGAGCTTTCTACAGCCCCCAGGAAATACATATTTCTACTTTCACAGATGCTTCAAAGCACCTACATTATTTTAAACCCTTCCACATAGGAGGCTGTGCTAATTCTGTGAAGGGCACAAAGCATATCCAAGACAACCCCTGATCTGCCTCCCCAAGGCCCAACAGTCATGTTAGTTATAGATTAGGAACAGTTTACAGATAAGTTTGGAACCTTCCTCTTTGAGTCCCCTTCCATACCATAGCAGGAGCTCAGGGAATGTTCGTTAGCCTGATGAACCAGAAGCTAGTAGACTGGAAAAATAACCAGATTGGGAAATCTGTTCAATGGTGCAAGGAGACAGAGAAGAGGGGAAGGAAGTGGCGAGACAGCTTCCGGCTGGAGCTGTGAACAAAGGGAGCACACAGGCTTACGGTCAGCTAGGTGGAGAACTTGACTCCAGACATGACTCGTCCTGCACATGTAGCCCCTTTGACGCCATTTCTGTTCACTCTTAAAATGGGGAGAATAACATTCGTCTCCAAGCCTCTTCATGAGAATAAAAGAGATAAAGCAAAGAAGACACAAGGAAAAGCAGAGACGATGAGTAGCAGCTGCATCTACCTTTAGGGCTCCAGGGTTGACCTGAAAACATTTCTAGGTATAGTAAAACCAGGTCAGACCCAAGTGGGTCTTAGACAAATCTTAGACAAAGGGAACAACTTAGACCAATGCCTAACAGAGAAAGCCCTGGACAGTGGACAGGTCCATGCTGGGAGCTGAGCAAACAGCGCATGGACTAAAATGCATCTACCAGTGAAAGTAATAAGCAGCCACCACCACTTACGCAGCACCCACTATGAACCAGGGCCTGTGCCAAGCACACCCTGAGTGAGTAGCCTTGTTTAACTCTCTCCTTAGAGAAAAACTAGAGAGTGCTGTCCCCATTGTGTAGATGAAGTTCCCAGTGGTAGAAGTGATTGCCTAAGGTCAAATAGCTAATTCATAGCAAAAGGAGCTGGGAGCCCAAGATCAGCCGGGAGGATAGGGCCTCATAGAGACTCACAGGTTTTCACTGCAACTTTGCGGAGCAAACCCCAGGCCCCAAGTAACTCAATGCAGTATGTGCCGCAGCGCTTTGCGCATGGGCTTCTCTGCTCTGTGTGACTGACTGGAAAGGGACCAGCCTCTTAGCCTCACTGAGCCCATCAAGGCTACAATCATCTGTTATCAAAACCACAGCGAAAAGGTACCTGAGTAGTCACCAGGTCAGAACTTTTTATTTTCAAAGGAGGCTCCATTTGCTTAAACTCACCTTGTTAATTGGAAAAAAAAATAAAAACCCATTGCCATTCTGTGACTATTTCAGCCTACTACCAAAGTGTGAAGGAGATACCTAATAATTGTCAGGAAAACCAGTCCTATGTCTCAACTCCTGATGCATTTGGGGAACAGCCCAGTGGACTCACATACAGGCATCTATCTCTCAAATATACACAGCCATGTCTGTCCCCAGAGCACTCTCAGGCCCCTCATGTCATTCGCATTTTACCTGTGACAGAACAAGGATTATGGCATCCACCTGTAGATAAGAAATCAGATTCAATTAGATTCGGGAATTCAAGTATCATGGGAAGAAACAAAATCTAAGTTATTTCATTCCAACCCAAATATTCCTCCCGCTGAACCACACTATCCCAATGTGACAGGGATAAATGCTCCTCAAAACCACTCAGGGGACCTGATGACCTGTGGACCAATCTATTCTATTTAATTGATATTTGGGGATATCAAGCCCCAATGAAGAAAGCTGTTGTGTCTCACTTAATGAAGTGGACAGCTCAGGTTTAAAACTTAAAAGTTCTTTGTTAATAATGGTGTCAGCTGAGATACCATTACAGCACCAAGAAAGAATCTGGAAGCAAAGCAGTGTATATTCTCCAAGTTCCGTGTCCTCACTAGCCTCCTATCTTGGTGGTGAATGGATTTTAAGTTTTATGTTGGTTTTGATTAATCAATTGTTCTTGTTAGATACCACGTGTGGAGGAATTCTGAGGTTGCATCTAGGCTGTATTTCAAAACATTTTTTAATTGATATGGATGCCTGCCACATAACAAGAATATAGGAAAAGAAACTGTTATAAAGCAAGCCATGTATGTAGCATTGCTACCCTAAAGTAAACCCTAAAAAGGGACTACTAGTAGCAATTGCACCACTTACAGAATGCCTTCTTTGTCCCATACACTAGATTAGCATTGTACCTGTGGAGGCTCCACAGCAATGCTGTACAATGGGTACTATTATCACCATGGTCAGAAGGGAAACAGGGAGTCTCAGAAAGCTGGTTATTTACCCATGATCCTGCAGCAAACAGGACATAAAACCTAAAATGATGGAGGTAACTAGTTGCAGTGGAATGGCAGAAGGTGTGCAGTCAGGAACCCAGGGTTTTATTCCTGGCTTTCCCACCAACAAGCTACACGACACTGGGTAGTTCATGGTCACATCATGGCTCTTAGAGCACTGCTGAAATTGGTCTTATATGCCCTCCATCTCTGTGACTCTGTCCTTTCATGCCACCAAAACATTGGCGAGAGGGGAGAGGAGATGGCCTAACATCCCCACAAGACAAAAAGGAGGGAAAAGTGACATGAGGCTTCCTCCAGCTCCCCTCTCTGAAGAATCTAGCATCTCATCCCCATGGCAGCCCACAGCTTCTTGGCAGTCCCAGCTTGGAGTCGTTTAATCCTCCGTGGACAGTTTAATTAAGACGTGGGAAGGGCCACAGAGCTGCAGATGATAGGCGACATCCCAGAGCAGATACTCCAAGTGTGCTTCCTTGCCAGTCACGCTGCCTTCGCGTTCTTGGAGATCAGGTTTCCTGACAGTCCCGTGCCCGTGAGCACAGCAGTCACCTCCGGGGCTCTGGGGTGAGGCTGGGAGCACATATTAATTTTCTGCATATTTTGCCCAGAGGGCTCCTCTGCTCTGCCTGTCAGAAACCCGGCTCCCCACTGTGTCCATCTTGTCAGGTCAAATTGCATCTTGCAATTGCCCTGCTGTGTGTTTTGTTGGTGTTGTGCCTGGAAGATCATCTGCAAATCTGATCACAGCCGAATTTATGCATTTTGCCATTTCCTGGGAGAGAATATTAACTACGTTGGAGCTGCTATGATTAGGTCTGAGCATTTTCTCCCTTAACCTGGGACTCTTGCTCCCTTTTCTGCCTCCTTTCTTCTTCCTCACGTAGACACTGCTGCTTGAATGGTGTGCTTTTATGTAAAAGATCAGATATTTCAAGTTAGCAAGGGATTTAAAGATTATTATGCCAAAACTCCTTATGAAATGAACAGGAGAACTGCAGCCCGGAGAGAAGGAATGGTTCCACAGGGCACACCATGCTTAGAAGTAAAACTAACACCAGAACCCAGGGCTCCCCGGGTCCCATTTAGTTGTCCTTTCCAAGATGTAAGCCATGTCAGGAAACAGATTATCTAGTTTATCCAATGACAAAATAGTAAAAATTAAAGCTCACTGTACCAAATGCCTCCCTCTACTTCTCAGTAGTTATAGCCAGTATTGGTTCCTCCAGATCTAGAATTTCCCTGCCCTAACTATCCTTACACATCTGTTAGTTGAAGTGACAGCCGTACGTCAATATCTTACTAATGCTTGATATTGATTGATAAAGGACATAAACCTGATACTTGTGCACAGAGAAAAATGATGTATTGCATGCCTAATAATTTTATATTAAATAAATATATAATCCATTTTAACCACCAAATTACATAGGTTGTGTGACTCTAGTAGTAATTCTCTAAAAAATATAAAGTGCTGGCTATTTACAAAGCACTTTCAAAAGATAGACTCTAGTTTCTCTAAAATATACCTATCCCTTAGAAAAAGGAAATTTTTCAAATGCCATTTTGAGACAAGAGGATTAATTTGTAATCCCAAACAGTGAATTCTAACCAAGGGACTCAAATAGACTCTAAGAGGGGCCCACTGAAGAGAAGACATCTTTTACTCTTAGGTAATACTTGACATCTTTGAACAAAAGATCATCCACAGTACAAATCAAGACCACCTGATAGGGTCCCCCAAATCAGAATCTCTGGATTTGCAGTGGAGATCCTGCACATTTGCAGCTTCTGTACACAATGCCAATGCCTACCAAACATTAGAAACTGTTTTTCTTGAAGTTGAGCTTTTCTCCAAATCTGAACTAGGAGAAGGATGCATCTGGAAGGGACCAGCACATCAAGTAGAATTAAAAAATCTAAGCAAAATCCCAATGGAAAGACAGCTTAAGATGAGTTAGAAGCAAATGAAGACAGCAGTTTGATTAGAGTTGGAGATTTTTGGAAGAAAACAAGCAACAATATTTGGTCCCAAGTCATTAGCTTTCCCAGACCATTAACATTTTGAGAGCAAGCCTTACAATATGGAAGGACCAGGCCTGGCAACTCACTATCCAGAAGATTTTTGTTGCTCTCTTCCAGGGACGAAGCCAGATCCCACTAGTATGCAGCTCTCTACTTCATCTGGACAGTATCAGTATAACCTTATTGAAGAACACATAGGTTCTGTATAGTCCTTAAAAGCCAGGCAGACACCCAGTTGCTTTAACTTTCCCCATATTAAGTAGGAATATAATTCCTCAGAAGTAATTAAAAGATTGAGTTCCTCTGCTCATTCTGTATTTGCAGGATATTTGTACTTTGGAACCTACTGATAGTAATTAGAGCCTCTTATTTTGCAATCACTCATAATTTGTTTCTTCCTGAGCTAATCTGGCTCATGAATGTGTGATCAAGCTTTACTCAGCTCTTCATTAATGTGCATGCCTACCCCAAGTCAAGCACAGCCAGCACTCAGTTCTGGCTTTGTTCCTGCCCTCTGCCAGAGATCTAAAATCGCTGTGTTTGAGAAGATGTGGACATACATGAAATCAGCAGAACCATCAGTTTTTGTGCGGACCACAGAGGAGGGAATGATCCGAGTGCGGAAATCCAAAGGCAAATATGCCTACCTCCTAGAGTCCACCATGAATGAGTACATCGAGCAGCGGAAACCCTGCGACACCATGAAAGTGGGAGGTAACTTGGATTCCAAAGGCTATGGCATTGCGACACCCAAGGGGTCTGCTCTGAGGTAAGTAGCCAAGATCTGCCTCCTTCCTACTCCCTCTCTTCCCTCCATCTCAGGAAGGAAGCTGCTCTGTCTGCCACATGGCTACAGTGTTCAGTGCAAGCTATCAAGTGAGTCCATCTGCAATGCCTGTGGGCCTGGAGGATTCCGGCCACCTGAGACCTTCAGCCCTGAGGTTGGAAACTGACCCGGGGTCTCAGCTTGCTATGACTGTCACTGCCCATGTGTTCTTCCCACGCCTCACCTTACCCCTTTACATGTGTTCACCACCAGTGAGCCTTGTGCTTTTTGTCCTGTGATCTGTAATTATCCCATCCTTTACGAGATACCCCTGCATCCAGCTAGGCTGTGAACAGGGTTCTCCAGCAACCTGAATTTTTTGACAAGAGATGGTTTGTAATGTTTGTCTCAAAAGAAACATAGCCACATTGTCCAAATGAAAAAAATCAAGCAGTTTGAGTCTTGAGATGCTGGTGGTAGAAATTCACATAGCTGCTAATAAATAGCACCAAATTAATAACAGCATATATTCTTACCTACGCATTCATTTCTTCAGCAAGATGCAGGTAGTTCAGTAAAGTAGCAAAGTAGATTCTACTTCCATATAAAGAAAACCTGATATTTATTCCAAAGAGGTGAGGAAGAATCCTATAGGCCTCAAGTCAAAAGTTAAATTTAATTCTAAAATCCATTATCAACTGGCTCTTTTACAGAAGGTAAAACATTTCATCTCCCAATCCTCAATTTCCTAATCTGTAAAGAAAGGATACTATTTCTAGCACTGGTCCAAGGTAGTGATAGGTTCAAATAGGACGATCTGTGAAAAAGGTAAATGAAAGTATAGTACAAAGGCACCTGTTAGAAATTCTGTCACTTTCAGAAGGATTAAATCTTTTGGAGGAAGGGTCAGATTCCAGGAAGAATAAGAAGTATTAATAAAGGCTGCTAAGGATGGAGGGGATTCCTTTCCCATCTTGCCATGACATCAAGGATCACATCAGCCTCTGTTTCATTCATTTCAATGATACTGAGTTCCAGCATTGTTTGAGGCACTGATAGAAGAGCTTGAGATAGTTTTTAATAAGACATAGGCCCTGTCTCCACGGACTACATTATTGTGCAAAGACAGCTGCATAAATGATTATTATCTAATGTTTAATAATAATTATGATACATACTAGGACAATCTATAAGAAGGGCCCTAGAGAACATCTATTCAGCAACACAGCGGAACAAAATTCTCACTATAAAGCCTAGATATGTGGATAGATACAACAAATAGCCTTTTAAATGCAAGTTAGTAAATGTCTAGGGTCAGAAGCAAAACAGAAATGAAAACCAGAATGAAAAACATAAGGTAATTATTCTGGAACTAAAATCAGGGCAAAGGTATGAATTAGGTGACAATCTACCTGCTCAAGTAATCAAAAACATTTTAAAAGACAGATACATCATTAAAGATCAGACATATCTGACAATGTTTTAGAACTAAAATTAGAATGTTAGCTCTAAAATTAGAACTTATAGTAATAAAATATAGTTTGTGATATAAAATCTTAATGGAAGGGTTAAACAATAAATTAGACAAAATCAAAGAGATAATTGGCATGCTGAAGAAAAAACATAATTCTTCAGCATATAGTGCAGAAATATAAATAACAGAGAAATATAATACAGAAGTTGAAAAACAGGAAAGAGAAAAAAATCAATTTGCTATGAATTTCAGATGGAAAAGGTGGAGTACAGGGAATACTCTAAAGGAGTTTTCTAAACTCCATGGAAAACATAAACCCTCAGACTTGCAATTGAGTTTCCATCAGGATAAACAGATGAAAATCAATAGCTGGTCCAGTTAAAACTGAAAAACCCCAACCACAAAGGCAGGATCTGAAACACGCTGAGATATAAGAAGGTCCAACCCAGTCTGCTGTAGGGACGCCGTCTGGCTTGGAGACATCTCCAAGCAGGCTTCTTTTTTTCAAAGCTGAGAAGGCACATCAACAGAGGTCCACAGGAGAAGTGAGAGTCGGGGGAGAAGGAGAGAACAGTACACAGGAAGAATCTGAATCCATGGCAAGAGATGACAGCACACTTAATACAGAGCAGAAAGGAACCAACTGTTCCTAGGTGTTACGGAGGAGGAAGGGAAAGCGGAGCCTGGAGAGAGAGGTAGGAAAGGATTTGGTAAAGGACCTTTGTCCTCACTCAAAGAGCAATGAAAATGCTTTGAAGAATTCTAAGTAACTGTCTGAAAGTTAAAAGAATAAAGATATCTGCTGGGGGTAGATATAATTGATGTGACCTCATGAAGGGAAATCTAATGACCTCCTATTTATCCACCAGATATTTTTGCCTGGGAGAAATTCAAAGATTTTTTTGTGCAAGTTTGGGCAAAATTTAAAGATCTAGACAATCACATTTCTCAAAGAAGAGATTTTCATCTCAGAAACTTCCAGACCATCACCCTAAAAAGCTCTCAAATTACAGAATCATAGGTCCAAAATATCGGTGACCCTATGGTATTATAATTTCTGGGAGGTTTTGAGAGTCGGTGGCATCACTTGATCTAAATATTTGGTAAAGTTAAGAAAACAAGACACTAAACGGTGAAGCGGTTTGTCCAGTCAGCACAGTATTTTGGCCACCCAATCCCACACACAGGCACTCAGAATGAGTGGCAGCTCAAAACTATTGGAAATTTGTGTGGCCTAAGCCCAAAACTAAGGGTTATCAGCTCTCAAGGATAAAACGCCATCACTGAGCGAGTGCCGAGTACCCCACCACACGGGGTGTGCATAATCCTTACGGCATCTCTGCGTTATCCTCATTTTACAGATGAGCAAACAGCAGAAGCGATTTAAGCTGCCTGACAGGCCAACACAGCCAGTGAGCTAAGACCAGATCTCAAGGCCAAGCCATCCCACTCCAGAGCTTATAGCTCTACCTAAAGTTGTGCTGCACTTTTGACTGGCAGCACCATGAAAGGCCAGAGACTGGACATACATCAAGTTCTCTGTACCTATTCAAATGAGCCAAATCGATAACCATAAAGTGAGGAATTAAAAACACTTTTGGAGCCTGGAATATCCATTACCACTCTGAAGGCAAACTGCAAATGCAGACACTGCTCAAAGCAGCCAGCACCAGTCCTGAGTGGGAACACGGTTTGTATAGATTCCCCTTGCTCACAGAATTCTTTCTGTATTAAATTCTTGGGGGGTGCAACCCAATACTAAAGAGAAACCTAATTCCATATGTCTAAATTTGAGAAAGAGAAAGATAGAAAGCAATGGGAGGAACATGTTTCAGGTCACTGATGGGTGATGGGCAAACCAGGAGGCCTATATGATGATGGCCCAGGTTCCCAGCCTTCTCACCATGCTCTGTTCTGTCCAGTGGCAAACTTGCTAATGTCCATGAGGCCAGGAGAACTCCTGATGAAAAATCAGAAGGGTTAAGTCCATGCTAAGATGATCTTGAGTATGTGCCTTGGGAACGTCCCTCAGAGTATAGTGGTTCCCTGAAACACACCGTCAAAGATTGGTTATAGTGAACACACAAGCACACACACACACACACACACACACACACACACACACACATGTGCGCGTGCACTTGCTGGGTTTCTAGCCCACTTCTGCCTCACACACCTTAAATGGTCATTCACCAAGATGCAGTCAAATATCAAAGAGTCAAGTGAAGCAAGGACAGCTGACATATGTGCCTGCTCCAGCCACCTGCTTACACGGAGTGACCCAGGAAGCCACTGTGTGTGGCAGAGCTGGAAAGTGAATAGGGAAAGAGCAGACCATGTTTCCTCTGAACCCACTGAAAAGGGCCTGTCAGCTATCTAATGATGGGTTTGGCACAGAAAATCCATTTGGTCTTCCCATTATGTTGAATCATATCAAATATCTTTAAAAGACTGTCAGCCAGTCCCAAAGCTAAAAACTATTTAGAGGTGTTTATGCTACAGAAATGTGCTTCACTGTGCTTCGGGCACAGTTACCAATTTCTCTCTTACCCTATAAAAGGCATGGATTTTGCAGCCCTCACAGAGAGCTGTTCGCCAGGCTTAGTACCTGTGCGTGCACCCAGAAAGGATCTGTCTGGCAGTCTTCGTCTGCCACTTGTGCTCTATAAACCTAGAACACACCACACCTGTGGGACATTCCTTCTTTCCAGCCTGTCCTGAGCAAGCTCCAAGTTTTTCCAAAGCAGATCACCTGGCTCTGCCTTGGGAGACTGGAAGACAGATACCTAAGATCCAAATGTTCCTCATAAATATGCCAGCTCTACTTGGCAGAACCCAGGCTACGGTCCCCCCAGAACACTAAGAGGCCATGTTAATGACAGAGTGGCTTTTGTATCTTCTGCACTCGAGACAGATACTCTGATGAAGCAAGGTGGTTCGACGCTTGATTTTCCATTTGGACAGGTGGTGTTTCTTTGAAACAGATGCTGTTTGTTGGCTGTCACTGCATGTTTGGGGTTGGATGAGGGGCGAGTGATGTTTCAGAAGCCCTTAGGTTGTGGATAAAGACTATACTGCCAATGTTGGTCACTAGGGAAAGGTAATTGGTAAATTCACTAATTCTGATCTGTTGCACCTTTTGTTGCCAACTAAATGTATCTGCTCATCTAAACAAGTCTTTTTCCTTTATGATGATGAATATTCCCTTCAGTTGAGACAATGTACTCCAATTTCCTAAATAAGCATGTGTGGTGGAATTCACACCAGATTGGCCGCTGTTAAAATCTCAGCTGATAATTGTCCATCATAAGCCATCTACCAGATGTTTAATGGATTTGCTGAGAGTAATACGCTAATCAGGACATTGGTCAAGTCTGGTCTTTAACTGTGACTGTGGTTACATAGAGTCTTCCTGGTCTCCATGATCATGACACGTCTGTCTTTTGTCATGCGTCTTGTCCATGCCAGAAGCATGGGCCAAGGTGACAGGAGCACACAGTGGGTACTCAGGAAGATCTGGGACCCACTT